AATTTTTCAAGTGTACGAATATTTGTTTTCCCCAACTGTATATATATATATATATATATATATATATATATATATATATATATATATATTTTATTATTTTATTATTACCATATATGCTATATCTATGATACCTTCATTAATATATTAACATATTATTACTTATGAAATATATATATATATATATATATATATATATATATATATATATACATATATATACAAGGTATTTTATTTTATAACCATTTTAATCTAAATAAGGCAATGAAGCCATTAAGACGCAAGGAGTTACTGAGGATGAAATCCAATAGAATGAAGGAAACTAAGAAAACGTTACTGAAGAGAAAGGACAATAAAAACAACAGGATTTAAGGAGACAGAAGATGACGATTGATACTGCATTTAAATTTTGTGCCGTGTAAATGACATGGAAGCTAGAAGTTGCAAAAGATTAGCAGAAGGAAACTATTAGCATAGAACTTACGGCTTGCATATAACAATTCCAATTTTACCAACCTTAAATATATTATAGATATAAAGATCAGATCTACCTGGTAATCTAGTATTACTATAAATATAAAGATATTAATACTAATAAAGATATCCTAATATAAATATCAATAACGATAATTTAATTATACATAATATTAAAATAAAAGATAAATATATATATATATATATATATATATATATATATATATATATATATATATATATTGCATAAGTAATAATATGTTAATATATTAATGAAAGTATTATAGATATGGCATATATGGTAATAATAAAAATAATATATATATATATATCTATCTCTCTCTCTCTATATATATATATATATAAATATAAATATCACACTTATCCAACGTATAGAGCAATGTGGAGGACGGAATCTGCTAAAATTTAATATCTTCCCGTTCTACCAATTCTACGAAAAATCTCCGAACAAAAGCGCATTAATAAAGAAATATTTTTATCAGCAAATTTAAACCAAACCTCAGTTCCTTATATAAACCAGAGGCACGTTTTTCCCGGGATAGAGTTCAGGAGGTGGGAATCTAATAAACATTTACACATTTTTTGAAAAGCTAAAAGCGAAACCGGTTAAAAAAGATTTTTTTTTCTGAAAAGCCCCATGTAAATAAAACAATTTTAATTTTAATAATTCTGTGTAAACATACATGTACCATAAATAGTAAATATAAAGAAATAAAAAAAACATTAGGTTTTTTTCCAAATTCTATTATCTTCTCTATACAACAAGTTTTTGTACAGACTTTTCTAAAATTTTCATTATATATATATATAATATATATATATATATATATATCTAAAGAGAAAAAGAGATAGAAAGATATCTACATGTTTGCAAATCTTTTCGTCCACCTTGGTAAATTAATTACATTTTTTTTTAACTTTGTGCACAAGGTTTTTTAGCTGTATGCTTTTCTAAGTTCATTTTATGATCTTTGAGAACGAGAAAACAAGTGACTACATTTTCATTAATGCTGTCTTGTGTATAATAGATCTTAAGCATAAATGATCCTGAAGAAAGACCATGCAAAAATGCTGGTCTACCAGCGAAAGTTTCAACTCTTTTCTTAAGGTAGAAATGAATTTATTTACAAAAAGTGATCTTTCTTATTACCACAGAAATTTAAAAAAAATATAAAACGTCAAAGTAGGGAGTTAGTAATTACTACTGCTGTTTTTAGCTCGAATACTTGTCTGTTTTTAACGTGAGATTGAAAAGCCTGTTTTCGATGTGACATTGAATAGAACAAGGTCATGTAATTCTCATTGGGGGACTCGTTTCTTCTGTTACAACCACAATGTTTTCATAATATTCTGATTCTGTCATCCAGATGTTCAAAAGCTGAACATCTTTATCTCCAAGAAAGCTTTTTTCTGGTACGTAATATACGGCAAGGAGCACCGTCATACTTCGTGGTCTGGTAAAAGATTAGATAAACTAATATTGTAAACTAATTTCTAGCTGATTAGGCTTCCAAGAAAACTTATACTAATTTTCTCTTACGACCGTGTGTGCAGCAGCAACAACAACAAAAAACAAAAAACAAAAAAACAAAAAACATTACGTGTACATCATAAAATGTTAATATCTTGTTGTGTATCTAGTATTGTGTCTTTCTTCCAGTGGTCTTTCACATATTTTCGTATGTTCTTATCCTTTCTTTTACATTATATATTCTTACAATATACGGGTAAATGTTAATATCTTGTTGTGTATCTAGTATTGTGTCTTTCTTCCAGTGGTCTTTCACATATTTTCGTATGTTCTTATCCTTTCTTTTTACATTATATATTCTTACAATATACGGGTAAATGTTAATATCTTGTTGTGTATCTAGTATTGTGTCTTTCTTCCAGTGGTCTTTCACATATTTTCGTATGTTCTTATCCTTTCTTTTACATTATATATTCTTACAATATACGGGTAAATGTTAATATCTTGTTGTGTATCTAGTATTGTGTCTTTCTTCCAGTGGTCTTTCACATATTTTCGTATGTTCTTATCCTTTCTTTTACATTATATATTCTTACAATATACGGGTTCCAACTTGTCGGCTAAATGACAGAAAAATGAAAATAACACTGGCATCTCATTTTAACAGATATATTTACCAAAATTACACAAAAATATTGTGAAATACTAAAGAGTAAATTTATTCAATAAAATTTCCATTGGCTTCAACCAGGGCCTCCAGATGACTTTAGAATCTCCTGCAACTCTTCCGCACGGTCTCCTTGTTTAAGCTGGTGAATGCTGCCATAATCCTTGCCTTCAGTCTATCTTTAGTGTTAAAACGAGTTTTGTTGGTTTTTCCCTCAAATGGACCCCACACATAATCATCAAGAGGGTTGCAGTCTGGTGAGTTAGGTGAGTAGATGTAAGGGGTGATGTGGTCACAGAAATTCTCTTACAGCAATAACAGGATTCCCTTAGTTGTCTGTCATGTTTTAGAGTCCTGGTGACAGATATAAGGTTTTTCCAGCAGCCACTACCTCCTTATCACCCTTTATGTAGGCCTCTGTGTTGAGTCTGAGGCCCTGTGGGAAGAGGAATGGAGACATAACGTTGCCATTACCAGTAATCACTCCAAACACCATGATATTGACTGAATATATTATTCAACCCTTGCCGAATCTTCTGTCCTAGTTTCAGATTGATAGTCAAACACAATGAAATGTTCATATTAGAGCTTCCGGTGCGAATGCCAAGCAGTCCAGCTTTTGGATATTGTAGATTTTATTTTGACTCAAAAATTCTAGCAGAGTGATTTGTGTCGTCCTGGTGCTCTTTTTTCTTATAGACGGTGCCCAACTGGCCCTACCATATTATACAGTCGATACAATCAAAAAACAATTTTACATATCGCACCCCGTATATTCTGACATTGTATAAGCTTTCACATTTGATAAATTCTTTTACCTTTTACATTATATTTTTATAGTAGAATGTAACTCTATTTTGCATTCATCACTGAACATCATTATTACCACTTTGCAAAGTGCCATGTTACTTATTTTTGGCAGCGCCAAACTTCTATTCCAATGGCTAACTTTTGTGGCCATCCAGTTTTCTTTGCTCATAAAAAACTTTCAGGATTAGTAAAAGTTTTTTGGATGATTTGAACACTGTTTCTGAAGCATAAGCATAACTAATTCCCGTTGAGTCATCTTCTTCAAAGTCACAACCTTTATCTTTGTTTCAGCAGAAAAAAGTATTTTTACTTATTGTTTTACTGTAAAAAAAAGCACGCTAATGATAAACTACAATGACGTGTCGACGCCCCATACACGGATGTTAATAACATGGAAGAATTCTTACTAAGAAGTTTGCATATTATCATGACTTTATGATCTCAGATTTTTCATTGGCCCAATTGTTATGCATGACATTTTTCTGCTTCAAGCGGTTTATCCTCTGTTACACGTCAAAATAATACGCAAGGTCCGCAGACACGACCGATAAATGTACACTGCTAAACAATCTTCGAATAAATGTATGTGATGATTTTATGTAGATGCCCCAAAAGATTTGCACACCATTGTGTTTATATATATATATATATATATATATATATATATATATAAACACCTTGATGATTTTGTAATATAGATTTCAGAATAATCATCGGATTCTATTTAAGAGTACTCAAAATTTGTAACATTATTTGCACAAAGAGGAGAAATATATTGAAAATAATTTGAAGCTCCTATAATAACGCGATTATTTCATATAGAACGTGAAACAAAAGGCTTATAAAATGTATAGGTATGTGTAAGTGTGTGTGTGTGTGTGTGTGTGAACAGATTAGATATGTATAAACCAAAGTAATAGACATGGTCAGGCTAAGATTACTTTCGTATTATGCGCATGCTATATTTACTTTTGGATATTGTAGATTTTATTTTGGTATGCAGTGTTGTCTCGATAGCAATCATCACTACTCAAAGGTCGGCTCGGAACCATGAATAATGTATGGGGACATTTTTTAAGCAAAAACTGTGTGCACGAAAAAAAAAGAAGCCCCAAACAAAAAAAAAAAAAAAATGATTGAGAATTTCAACATTGCAGAAATGGTGCGAAACACCTAAAATGGCTGTCAAATAACCAGAGTTTATTTATTCAGAGCTTACATTCATTATATGGTTGTCACATTCTATTTTTTCAGCTATCATCTTTTTTTAAATTGCAAGTGGGTTATATTTTTGGTAGAAACAAGAATAATTTTTAATAGTTATTTTGTCTTTTGAAAAAAAATTTATCAACTGTGATGTCGAAAACTAGCCCTACTGCTTCTGTGATAGTGATTAAGAAAATTTCTAACAAAATGGAAGTCAAAAAGTTTTTAGTTTAAATTCCGTTTGCTAAGTTAAAGTATTTAAAAATCTCCGTTGCATTTTGTGCTGAAACTTTTAATTCCATTCAGCTTTTAAATTTGCAGTATAGGGCTTTTTCTTTTCTCTGAATTCTTTCAATGCATTTATTTCATAGCATTTTCTTTCTTTTCATTCATTCTTTTTTTCTTCCTTTTTTGTATTTATTTTTTCTATCATTGAATCGTTCTCCATTTTCTGGATGATTCATTTCTTTCTTTCTTTCACTAACTGATTGCTTCATTCTTTCTTTTTGCTTACTTTTTTAGAGCTATACATTCTTTCTTTCTCTAAATTGTATTTAGAACTTTCGTTTATCTTTCTTTGTTTTATTTTTCTTTCTTTTTTCATTCACTCTTTTTTCTTTCTTTGAATTGTTTTTACCTTTTAGAACTATACTTTATTTCCCTCTTTTTACTTTTTAAATCTATACTTTCTTAATTTCTTTCGTTCTGTCTTTCTTTGACTGAGCTATAATTTCTTTTATTCACTAAAGTTATCTTTCATATTAAACTTTCTTTTATTTCTCTTTCTTTCTTTCTTTCTTTCTTTCTTTCTTTCTTTGTTTCTTTCTTTATTTTTAAAATTAATTTTACTTTTTAGAACTGTACTTTCTGTCTTTTTTTCTTTTTAGAACTATTCTTGTATCCTTTCGTTTTTCTTTCTTTCTTTCTTTCGCTACATTTCTTTTACATCGTCCATATTGTATTTTTAAACATTCTTTTTCATTTTCGTTTTATATTGCTACAACGCTGTTTTTTTTTTTTTAAAGAATGACTTCCTTTTTAGTTGATTCGAACAAAATTAAACCCTTCAATGTATTCACCCAAATTCATGCTTCCTGAATATTGAGCATCTTGTGTCCAAGACATAAAAATCCTCATTCCTGAATGGAATAATTCATGAAGAAAATGTGTGAAGGTCGTGGGCTTTAATTGGAATAATTGAGAGCAATCCAATTTAAAAACGGAGAAATTTTTTTCAGAACAATCCACCCCCAAATCTCAAATAATGATAATGGGTGTCGTTTTATCTTTTTTCCCTCTCTTTTGCATATGTTCAATAGAAAGAAAAAAGTTAAAATATATTTTATTTGTTGTTATCTTTTTCCTTAGCCATTTCCTTTTCTACTGCTTCCTTTCTTTTAATTATCTTACCTTTCGACTATAGTTTTCTTTTTTCTTTCTTTTCTCTCCATTTCTACAAAGCTTTATTTTCTTTCTCTCCATTCTTTCCTTTTTGACTTTCTTTCTTCATACTTGTGCTCCTTCTTATTTTCTTCTCTCAGAGTTTTCACAGAATATCTATCTTTCTTTTTTACTTCCTTTTTTCCTATCTTCTTCGTCTCTTCAGCTTGTTATTCCTTTTCTGAAGTGATTTCCTTCTCCTGCTAATTTTCCTTTATATATTCTTTCGTTTCTTCGTTCTTTCGTTCTCTCTTCAGCTTATTCTTTTTCAAATTAATAAGCCTTTCTCGTCTTTTATCTTAATACGCTTGTTCCTTCCTTCCTTCCTTCCTTCCTTCCTTCCTTCCTTCCTTCCTATCTGTATTCAACGGGTTATTCTTTTCTTAATGCGACTTCCTTTCACGTTTATTCTCTCAATAGGCTCCTTCCTTCCCCTTCCTTCCTTCCTTCCTTCCTTCCTTAGGGGGGATGTTTTGGGCTTTGTCCTAAGCGTTAATGCAATAATTACCTGTTCGAATGTTTATCTTAACGAACTCGTATATTCCTGTACGGCCGGATTCCTTTAATATACCGCTCCTTGTTGAAATATTATTCTGAAAATGTTTAAACTGTGAGTAAATTCTTTGAAATATAATTATTTTCCAAATTGTCACATATTCCACCATCATATGTCTATATATATATATATATATATATATATATATATATATATATATATATATATATGTGTGTGTGTGTTTGTGTGTATTAAATCAACAATTCGCCCTTGCATGGAGTATTGCTGCCATATATGTTCTGGAGCCCCTTCTGTTTGCCTCGAGGTTCTTGATAGGCTCCAGAGGCGGATATGCAATATAATTGGCTCTGATTTGGCATCTCGTCTACAGTCACTTTCTCACAGACGTGCCGTCGCCTCTCTCTGTCTTTTTTACAAATACTTTCATGGCAATTGCTCCGAGGAGCTGCATTCGCTGGTTCCCAGACTTCATGAGTTCCAGCGCCCTACGAGGCTGGCATCCCGCTCTCACCATTTCACTGTAGAAACTATTAAATGTAGCCGTCTCTTCTACTCCAATAGTTTCATATCTCGCACCTCTCGCCTGTGTAACTCCCTTCCCTATTCTAGTTTCCCTGAGAGCTATAATCTCCAGCTATTCAAATGTAATGTCAATCGACATCTCCAGTTGCCTTGATCTATCCACTACCCTTCTCCTCATCCTTTCTTCTATCACTCCTATCTGATCTTGCACCAAATTTTCTGTAAGCTTTTGCTTCCCGCCTTGCTTGTGCTGAAACGCTTAAAAAAATTGCTTTTTTATGTGCAGTACTTAGTAAAAAGCGGTCAATATCAGTGATAGAACTAAAATATTCTCTGTATAGATATGAGTTTGTGACCATGGGTTTCACGCTTTTGCGATCATCGGATAAAATGTTGTAAGGCAGAATTTTTTCCGTACTTGCTCGGGATGAAACGGTCATGAACACAGACACACTTACACATTTTAGTTCGGGCAAGCATACATACGCAGTTATAATTCTATTTCGTTGTCGGTAACAGAATATATATATATATATATATATATATATATATATATATGTTCGTGAGTGTGTGATAAAAATATTGTTTTATAGTATGCTATATTTATAGGTAATGTGCTCAGTATCGTTATAGAACCACCTACTCACACCCAGCAGGCCCATGTAATCAAGAATATCTAACATGTGACATTCTCCCTCTTTTAATCTAAATACAATGGATTTCTTAATCTGATGCCTTAACGATTTATCTAGGAAATGTTGAATGTTGCCTTTGTGAAGAAAATATTAAACGTGGGGAGCCACCTGATTCAGTTATGGCATCGTTATTATCTAGAACGCATTGGGGACAGTCTCAAGCATAAGGTCGAGTTTTTAAGTAACCTTTTCTCTGGAATTGTAAGTTGAAGATTTTCTTTCAAGAGAATTTTGTCAACAGAATCTATTTTTTTTATATAAATTAATTAACTCTGATATAACGTGAGCATTATTATCTATCTATCTATCTATCTATCTATCTATCTATCTATCTATCTATCTATCTATCTATCAAATGTACTCTTTGAATTCTTACGCTTTGTGAAACTGGGTAGTGAAAACGAGTCGGAATCCATCAATAGATGTACTAGCATGAATCAAAACCTCAGGCCGTCGTCGTCGTTCGCGGAAATCGTTGCTGATTATTGGGGTGCGCATCTAAATTTCCTTCTGTGGAAAAAGAGTCCTGAAGACGCATCCGAAGACATCGCATAGTAGAGTGGCCTAGCGAGGGTTGAAAATTAGTGTTATGGGGTCCTCCCCTTTTTCATACAAGTGGACTCTACCAAAGTGTTACTTGGACTGCTACCGTTAAATACCCAGAGTCAGTCAGAGACAGAGATAGAGATAGTAAGAAGACTGAGATTGTGATTGAGTTGGAGGTAGAGTAATAGTGTGAGGTAACCGCTTGTAGACGTCAGTTACAAGCACGCCCGACTCTAAGGAAGTTCTACTTCGAGACTGTATATATCTATATATTATTGCTACTAACCGCGTTCTTGGATTTACTAACAGTATTACCCTTTGTATTATTGTGTAAAAACATTTAATTTCTTATCTTTATTCCTGCGTTTGTCATTCAATGGAGACCGAATTTCATCTCGGAATCCACAACAATTAGAATGGTCGAAACGTGTTAATAACATCATGTATACTCTGAAGGATTTCAGTTGTCCAGACACACTTGCATATGTGAAGTACTTCTTCTACGAAGTTATAGACACTTGTATTCGGCGTATTAATCTTAAAGTAGTGGACATTAATCGGAGCCATTTAAATTTACATTGGTTCCTTTTTCAACAATACTACCACGAAAAGAAAATGTATTTTACTTTTGGTTGTAATTATCACTAAATAACTTAAGGTCGGTTTAACTTATTGTTTATCTTGGTAAAATGGCATAGCTTCCATGTAACTACGGTGGCTTACAAAAAGTTCTTATCCACGAGAAATAAACTACATCCAATTTCAAAATTTAATTACGTAACCCCAACTCAACATAAATAAACAGTATTTGGAGCTAGTATGAAGTAGGACCTCCATTTGCTACTTTCAGTGATTGTATTCTATATTTCATGGATTTGATCAAGTTTTCAACAATTGATTGATCCATATTTTGCCACTCCTTTAGCAATGTCCCTTTAAGGGTTGCCACTGACGTAATTTTGGTTGCACGCTTTCAACGTTTACGGTGAAGGTGCTCCTAAATGTGCTCTATTGGATTGATGTCAGGACTTTGGGGTACCCATGGCAGTGATTCCTTGCGATTCCTGCAAGGCCTTTGCTACTTTTCTCGTACGACATGACGTCCCACCTACTTGAAAAAGGTAGACATTCTTGTCACTCTGTTTGGTTTCAAATAGTGGACGTAGTCCTTTTCTCTAATATTTGACAGTATTTTGGACCATTCAACCGCTTGTCAACAAGAATCTGCTCAGAGTTCCATCCAAACCAGACAGCGCTCCACGGCATTACTCCAATCCCTCCATATTTCACGGTCGCCTGCAGACATTCAGTGATTCAGATTTCTCCAAACATAAACCTGTATCGAATTCGAATATTGGCAGGATTTACTTTCATCAGAACAAATTACAGATTGCCAAAATTCATAATCTTTGCTCTCGAATTCTCTCGCCCATATACGCCTGTTCCTGTTAACCTCTGAAATCAAGGGCTTCTTTCTTGCAACTCTTCTTTGATAGCCAAGTTCTTTCAGAATCATTCTCACCACATATGGCGACATGTCCATGTTGTTGGCGGCATCTTTGATGCTTGGTTTTCCCGAACGTTTTTCCACACGACAATGGCCTTCTTCATTAAACTTCTTGACAATATTATTAACCTTTTGATGATTAACCTGGCTAGTAATTTCTCTATTTGACTTGCCACACTAATGTCATCCTATCATTCACCAATTACCTTACTGTTAAGGGGTCCACCCCTTGTTCATACAAGTGGACTCTCCTAGTGTGTACTTGTACTGCTGCCGGTGAATACCCAGAAGTGATACAGTGAGAGAGTGAGCTTTTTAGGAGTTACAGCGGCGACCACGTAGACTCAGAAGGAAGTCATACTTCGATACTGAATTTACCCAGACTGTATATATATTATTATTGCTACTAACCGCATTTCCGGATCTACTAACCGTATTACCAATTGTATTATTACGCCAATAAATTTATTTGCTATATTTCATTCCTGCGTTTGTCATTCATTTGAGACCGGATTTCATCCCTGAATCCATAACACTTACTTCCGCGAACTTCCATTGCAAAATATAAGTCAACTATCGTTTATAGATGAGAGAAGCTTGAAATTAATTCGGTATTGTCTGAAAAAAAAAGAAGATACGTTATTACACAAGCAAAAATTGCTGTAAACAAGGGTGTCTAAAAACTTATCATAGCCCACTGTAGAGTAGAATAGTTCATGGGATGGAGAGTTTCGGTTTTTCTCTGGGATATCTTCGTCTCTTCTATTTGATTTTTGGTGATATCAAAGGATGTTATTTTGTTGTAGACTGTTCTTCTTTAATTGGTTTTTTCTGCAGCTTCTGACAACCAATGGGTCACATAAATTTCTGTCACTAGCTGATCCTTGAATGGACTACGCGGGTCTCCAAGAGTTCTCTTGCCAGATGCGAGATCTGAGAAGAGGATTTGTTTACGTAGGCGGATATCTGGCATTCGGTCAAGGTGTCTGGTCTATCAAAGTCAGTGGCGAATCATAACAGTTGCTCTCAGGTAATGAGAAAGATGAATGCTCTTTAATCTTATTTAACAATCTATGTAGAGATTATGTGTCGATAAAATCATCCATCCCTCGGTAGCCTGAGCACTCACGAGGCTGTATTGACTTAGATTCTCCCGTGGACTGAAATTCTTTAAATTCTCAAATGTGTTCGCTGTTAACTGGAGCACGCTATCTATCTATCTATCTATCTATCTATCTATCTATCTATCTATCTATCTATCTATCTGTTGTGGTGTCCTCATTCTAAAGAGTTTATGTTAGACTCTTCCGCCTACTATAAGATTAGTAGGACAGAAGTCTTTGGGGAACAGTGAATAGATTGAGAGCTAGTCCATTCGATAAACTCTCACTAGTCGTTTAATACTCTTCTAGTGTACTTACTGTTTAATATACGATATAACTGCAAACCTGATTTTTGTTCTTACTTAACCATTTACTTGGTCACAACACCATCTATCTATCTATCTATCTATCTATCTATCTATCTATCTATCTATCTATCTATCTATTCTATGAATTAGTACGCTCGTCCTACTTCTTGGCTTTCCCTGTATAGTGGACGGGTGTCCGGCTGGTTTGAGTGTTAGCGCTAGGGCCACAAGACTGAGTTCTTTCTGTCTGCAGCAGATTGCGAACACACGTAACAATTTTCTTTTTTTAAAAAGATTCGGTCCTCGGGAGAATCTAAGCCGATACAGACTCGCAAGTAGCCATACTCTTGAGGGATAACTTCTTTTTATCGACACACAAGCTCTAAATAGATTGTTAAATAAGATTAAAGAGCTTTCATCTACTCATTACCTGGGAATATGGAAAGCCTAGAAACCATTGATTTGCCACCGATTTCGATGGGCCGAACACCTTGAGTGAATGTCAGACATTTACCTACCTGAACAAGTTCCTTAAAAAAGATTCTTACGTTTGTTCGTAAACTGCTGCAGACAGAAATAGCGCAACAGAGATGTCTCTAGAGATTCTTTTCCTGATTTAAAATTCTTGCAGACTCTTCCAAGTCAAAGGTAAAAATAATGATGGGCAGAATATTGACTTGTCTTTTTCAGAAGGAATTTTAGTTCTCGAAAAAATTATTTACCGTAATAATATTAAAGAAAATTCAGTAGAATGCAGAAATTCTATTTTAATAAAATATACAAATGTTAAACAACGAAAAAGAAAGAGTCGTGCGTTCTTTGTATCCAGTGACACAAAGCCTTGAATTTTGAAGTGTTTTTAAAATAACAGGACAATTATCACATAGAAAATGGCTACGTTGATGGCGCTAAGGAAGGACGGAAGATGGCATCATTAATGTCAAAAGAGATTTAAAATAAAATCATAATGGCTTCTATTTGATTTCACTGGTTACTATTTTGATTTCAAGATTGAATAATACATTTGCTGTATTGATTTGATTCACTTTCTCAACTGGCATTGAAATAATCAGCATAATGCGAAATGTCCATTCAGTCTCAGGTTTATCATTCAGTCAATAATATTTGTTCTGATTGATGGTGTTGTTTTTGTTGTTGCACGGTTGTTTTTCTAAGGACATATGAGACGTTTTCCAGTAGCAAGCAAAGAAAAAAAAAGAAGATTTCTAAAGATTAACACTTTATAGAACCATTTAACACAGGAGCATCTCAAAAACTGATGACACATTTCCATAACGATTAAATATTATGAGAAAAAGACTGTCTTTTTGATTAGCTGATGATTTTGCTCTATCGAAAAGACAAGTACACAAAAACAAATAATGTTTTTCCAAGTCACTTTGTACAAAACATTTCGAACACAAAGAAATTATTAATGGATTTGAAAGTAACAAATACCCAAAATGAAATATGTATATATTTTAAGAGGAGACACTATATTGCAACACCCATTCACACATACAGATATATTTATAAGATCACTTCATATATATATATATATATATATATATATATATATATATATTTAATATAATATATAATATATATATGATATATATATATATATATATATATATATATATATATATATATATATATATATATATATATATATATATTAGGTTTGTTCTACTTATGTATTAAGCACTTTACGTAGTTACTTTTACTCATTTTGTAGGTTTTTATCTTTGGACCCTGAGCTTGAATTCTGGACGATTGTTTTCGCCTAAATTTATGTTCCTAGTTCTTTATTTTTTATTCCTCATTTTTCCTTGGGTATTGATTTGTTCAAAATACAAGCCAAAATACCCAAGGTTTTTTTAGGTACCATATATATATATATATATATATATATATATATATATATATATATATATATATATATATATATATATGTGTGTGTGTGAAAATATATAGAAAATAGGAAGGAACTGGTTAGGTAAATGATCCAAAGTCCCTTAGTATTTTAGATATTATTTTAAAAAAATAGTGCTCGATACAAAAGTAGAGCATAAATATATAATTATTTATTTAAATAATCATTTGGAATCATATTTTTAAATAACTTATTATATATATATATATATATATATATATATATATAGTTGAAAAGTTTGAAGCCACCCTCAATGTTACCATAGAATGAATTTAATAGAAAAATGAATCATTTGCATCTCAAAAAAGCTATTGAAAAAAGAATGGATTAAATTATCAAAATATACTTTGCGAAACATTGGAAACGAAACGGATCACAAATGTGTATTGCAGTAATCGAGTCTAAAAGAGGTTATTTTGACGAGGGGAAATTTTATTAAAAAATGCCTTTCTTATTTTTGTCATAATAAAATTTATAATAAAATTCATGCCTCGCTTTTTCTTAACTACGCACAATAATTTTTCTCTTATTTAATGTAGAAAAGAACAAGTTTTGCAGAATCTAAAATTACCAGTGGTGGTCTAAAACTTTTGATCTGTGGTATATATATATATATATATATATATATATATATATATATATATATATATATATATATATATATATATATCGGATATTTTTTTAATATATTTTTCAGTTTTCTGACTTAAAATCATGAAGTGAAAGAGCTTGAATTTCAGTATGAGGAAGAACGGCTTAGATATTTTATTGCCCACAAGATGTATTGAGCGAAGGCGGGGAAACTAACCAAACTACGTAATGAGTTTGTGTGAATGGATGCCAGAGAAGAGAAGGGAGATAAATATTTGATGAGAAAAAGTAAGCAAACATAAATGAAAAATGAAAAGGAAATAGAGAATGAACTAAGAGATAGAGAAGTTAAAAAGAAAGGAAGAAGAAAGCTAAAGAAATACAAAGCGTAGAATAATAAAAAAAAACGAATGAAGAAATCCAAAAGAAATGAAGAAAAATTAAAGAAAACAATAAAAGGTGTATATATATATATATATATATATATATATATATAAGTAATGAAAAATAAATGGAGGAAGAAAAGAATTAAAGGAATAAAAGACAAACGAGGACAACGAAACAAATGAATAAAATTCCTCAAGAAATATAAAAATAAAAGGTGAAGAAAAGACGGAATAAATAAAAATAAATAAGGATTTCAAATGAAAGAAAAACGCGGACGCACGTTGAAAAAAAGATATGTGTAAACGTAGAAAAATGGGAAAAAAGAAAGCAAACTGAAAGAGGAAATGGAAGAAGGTACGCAAGAAAGAAAAGGAGAACGAGTAAGAAAATGATAGAGAGAGAGAGAGAGAGAGAGTAAAAGTAAAAGAAAAACCAATCAAGAAAAAAAAAAAAAAAACTACGAAAGAAACCCGGAAGTAAGTTATGCAAAAAGAAGAAACATGAAAGAATGGAAGAGAGTAAAAGAGAAAAATGAAAAGAGGAGAAACCCACACAATAAAGCACGCAAGGAAGAAGAGCATGAGAAAAAGAAAAAGTAGGAAATAATGCAAGATAGAAATCGAACAAAGGAGAAAGCAATGGAAAAAGTGGAAAAGAAAGAAAAGTTAAAAAATAGAAAAAAAAACAAGACATTAAGAAAAATATTAAGAACAATAATTTAAGGAACTATCAAATGGATCCAAATTACCATTTTCGGATTTTAGAATTCTCTCGGAAACAAAGGTTTTCATTAAAAAATAGAGAAGCAAACATAACAGGTAATTATCACTGCATCAGCAAGCGACTACCCAGAAACCCTCTTGACTCATTAGCATGTTGCACGTCATAAGTTGTCTATAGGAATAACGTTGTTGATTGTCCATTTTCACTATATTTAGATGCTTCAAGTTTTTCAGATTGACAGAGAAAAAGCCTTGGTTAGCTTTTTGCATAGTCAATCATTTCACTTAGAAAATGTCCTCAGATATAAATCGGACAGAATTTGGTCATCAGCTCTTAAAAGAAGTGATGGTTATGATTGAAACATTATTTTCTCTCCGAGATATCAAATTTCTTTTCGCGATATCAAATTTACTCGTTACTAATGTTGATAATCTGCAAGTGATTTGGTTTCTGTTATTTGGCAGAGTTAGGTAAGGGTTCTTTGTGATTTTTTTTATCGTTAGTCCATAAAATTCAAAGAAAGTTGGTTCTCGTTTGAAGCAATTTTAACCACTGATCTGAGAAACTGATTGTATACAGGTGACATATATTTTCGAACGCATTCAGCACCAAGTATGGAATCCCCATAGAAGCCTCAATCTGACGAAGAAGAATTTGAAGTGAAAACAGCATTGAAACAATGCAGCAGCACCAGATGGAATTGTAATACAGTTTCTGGTTTAGATGATCGAATTGTCAAGACATATCAGATTATAGACATATTAAATGAAATATACCGGAAGACCTTAATAGATCTACTTTCATAGCGCTTCCTAAGAAACCATGTACAAACAAACATCCTAATGAGCCACATTAGAACACTTAACATCCGATTTCTAATGAAGAGCCTGAGCCGCAGATTCAGACCAGGAATAGGATAAGCACAGTGCACATTCGTTAAAAACACTGGAACAAAGAATGCGATGTTTATTCTCAGAATGATATCAGAAACTTCAATAGAAGAGGATGGATTCTTAAGTTTTATGGACTCTAGAAAAGTGTCTGATAAAATACCTGACACAGAACGGTTGGAACTGTTAATAAAACTATATACATTTATGAAAATGAATAATGCAGACTTTATACTGGGAGAAAACCGCCTGAATAAAGACAGAAAATGAATTTAGTAAATATGTCTTCTCACCGGATTTAGTCAACATTTACAATCAGATGATTCTGAGGGAAATAGAGCAGCCACAATTTTAAAATAAGCTATGCAGACACAGAAAATAAACAACAAGAAATCCTACACAATATAGTAAATGAAAGCGAGGAGAAAGGGGTAAATATCAATTGCAAGAAAATGAAATTCATAGAAGATTCTAATATGACTCTTTATGTTAAAACCAAGCAAATACAACAAATTAAAAATATAGAAAATCTATTAAAGAGGATAGAAAGTGCGACACTAAATTCCGAAGGTGTAATGGGATAGCAAAAGATCTATTTCAAAATCTAAGTAATGAAAAGTGTG